ATCCAAAAAAAAATAGTTATCAAATCATAAACTAGGCTCATAGGCCACAAGTCTAAAACTACCAAGAGATGGGCTACGCTATCTAACTCTTCCACTAGCGCACTCTCCTGGATCTACTCAACACCTGTAAAACATAAGGGATAGCACCCGTCAGCGAATAATGCTGGTAACCCACCAATACGCGTTGAGTACCATATAATATAGATATAATAAAAACCATTTGAGACTGGAAGTAAATATATAGCCTTTTAAAACGAGGAATAGAAACATCGTGAGACTCATCATAGTTCACTCTCAAATAAAGACTAACATCAACAGTTACTCAACAAGTCAATAAGAATGACAGAAGCAACATACTCATCAACAAGATACATCATACGATAATCAATCAAGGGACCAATACAATGATAAGAACAATGGAATCATCAAGGAGATAGCCAAACCAAGTCATTCACCGGAGAGTCATCGCAACTACTCGAATCATAATGCATCAGTGTGGAGTTACCGAAACACCGAAAGGTCCTAGCAAGGCAGAACTTCACCGTAGTGAAGCCTAGTGCACGGTGCTTCCCACGCAACCTTCACCACCGCCCATCCAGCGGAACCTCACTTACATACACAACACCAACATTGTAAGGCAGAGTTTCACCATAGCGAAGTCTAGCGCACGGTGTTTTCCACATATCCGTCGCTACCGCCCATCCACCAGAACCCTACTCACACCACAACAATAATCGAGCAAGGTAGGGTCTTCACCGTAGTGAAGCCTAGCGCACGATGCTTTCCACACACCGTCGCCACCGCCCATCCAGCGGAACCTCACTTACATCACAACAACACACTCAAAACCAAACCATCAATTACCAACTGCCACACAATCCAATAGAGGAAGGCTCATCAAGAGCTCAATCAAGGAATCAACAATATAGTACATCATATGTACAAGATCATATCAAGGGATTCAATCGATAGATTTCAATGAAAGACATGAATCAAGACCATCAAACAACGGTATAACAACAATAGACTTTAATCCAAGGGTTACCATGATTGGCAACACAAGTTGCCAATCCTCATTAGGAATGAACGAACAACACATACTAGCATTAACAACATTAGAACTAGCATGTACATCAAAAGGATAAACATAATGGTTCCAACGAACCTCAATGACTTCACATAAATCCAACAAATCACAATGTTGGACCATAAGCACGATTCAAGACTCATAATCCTATCACGGATACTTAGGAAACCGTTCTAGACGTGTGAAACATCAAAGGAGACACACAATTGCACAACGGGTCAACAAAACAAGAGGTCAAGAAATCAATACACGGTACCAGTGGGCGGAACGGTGGCGGACAACTGCCTGTCGTTCCACCTGTTGTGTACCAGCGGGTGGAACCACGGGTGGGCCTCTACCCGCGGCTCTGCCCGCCGGTACATTCCCTTCCACCCACGGGTGGAACAGCGGGTGGACAGCCACCCGCGGTTCCGCCAGCGGGTACATACCTGTACCCCAAAATTTCCCTTCGGGGATAAACATCAACAAAGCCAAGTTCAAGTCCAAAACACCCAAAACCTCATATTCAACAAGGAAATGTCTTGAACACATGAATAGCTCAAATGATAGCATTTAATAACCCTAGATACAAGCTCTAAACATGCATAAACACAAGATTGTGCATCAAATCTCACAAGAACATCAAATAGAGCATCAAGAATCATCATAGCAAGTGTAAAATAGGTTTTGTAAAGCATGGGTTACCTTTGTAGTCCAAAAGATCACTTCCTTTTTACCTCCTAGCCTTCTCTTAGAAGTTCTTCCTCAACTAAGTCTTCTTAACACAACCAAAACCACACTTAGATAAAGACTAGATAAGGAGATGTCTGCTCGAGAACGCTGGTGAGTTAATGCAACAAACTGGATTGCGTTGGCCAACCAATGTTGATAAGGAGATGTCCGCTCGAGAACGGTTCAAGTACAGTGCATCAATTCACTCATATAACAACCAAAGAGGGATATATGAGGTAGCACTTGAATCAACTTCTAGTTCTCTGGGCTAGCCATGCTATGTTAAGGTAAATTTGACTGACCGGACATGTAGCTGCAGTTGTTGGATTGTAGATGGCTTACATATTGCGCATGCCATTATAGAGGGACTATCCGGACTCCTTTGTGCCACAAGTCTTCTCATTACAGTATTACATAATGAGTTATGCAGGGGACTTGAATCCATTGACGGATGACAAAGTTCAGCTGACCACAACGCTCATGTGTCTGCCACCCTCAGGTGCCCGCCGGAAAGCTCATAGAGGTCAACAACGTAGAAGTCAATTTCCTAATGAAATGGACTTTGGTAGTCACCGTCGTTGATGACGATATGTACTCTATGTAATCAATTGCTCCTTTGTTAATATGAATGTCATGAAAATTTATAATATAATTGCAATAATTACACATTTATAATTATCAAGTTCACCGCAATACAAATAATAAAATAAATAAATACATAATAAAATATTTAAAAATACGTTATTATTATCATGCAATCCATTGTACTACAAATGACTATTTAAAATTTTAAAATCTTTGTTTATGTAATTTTTTTTTTTTGAAAACTTTATGTTATTAATTAATATTTGATAAAATAAAAATTTTAAAAAACAAATTCAATGTAATAAAAATTGTCTATTATTGTCTTCTTCTCAACTTTTAAAAAATTGAGGGTGGAAAGAAGACAATACTATTGCTTTCTTCTAATTTTTTTTTTAAAAGAAAGTGGAAAGAACACAATGCAATTGCCTTCTTTGTGGCTGGTTAGAAAAGAAGTAATGACATTAGTACTTTTCACAAAATTGTCTAGGATTTTGAATCTACAAAATTTTGTCCAAATCACGTCAAATCTACTGCTTCAATCCGGTTTCAACCGGTTTAATTAGTTTAGAACTTTAGGTAATATCTGATTTGTAGTAATCATATTTTCAACCGGTTTTTAGTAAAGTCCTAAACCAATTAAACCGGTTAAAACCGGAAAAATAACAAAAGAAAAATTTGAAAAGATAAAAAAAAAATCTCTAATTAAAACTAGGAAAAGTCATGAGAATGACTAAAAGTGTCCAAAAAATAATAGTCTGAGATGTTAAATGACAAAAACAATAATTTGAAGCTAAACTTAAAATTTCCACCAAAGACAAGTGACCTCTGGTGAAATTAACTGATTTATTTAATTTATGGGACTTTATAAACTCATTAATTAATTTATTAATAACACTATTCATTTGTAACCTATTTATACCAAGTCTATTATGTTTGACTTTTGGTGGAAAAAATCTAAATTTATATGCCTTTGACAATTATATCTAAACATTCAAAAATTTATAATTTAATATCAAACTTTTGAATCATGTTATATTTAATTATAATATGTAATTTCAAAACGAGTTAATTCCTGATATGGTCCCCCGACTATTGTCTTTTCTCAAATTGGTTCCTTGACTTTTAATTGCACCCAAAGTGGTACTCCGACTATTGAATTTTAAGCTAAAATGGTCCTCCATTAGATTTGGTGTTAAGTGGGTGTTAAAATAAAGGGTAAAAAGGACATTTTATATTGTTTGTTGTTTAGAGTTTTGACTTGCCGATTACTCCTCCAAATTAGTAAAAAGGTTTTCCCCAAGGGAAAATCGTAATTTGGGGAAGAAGGGGAAAGTCGCAATTAGCTAGGTTTATATTCTTTAATTTGGGGAAAATCTGTTCACTAATTTGAGGAAGTAATCAGCATGTCAAAGCTCTAAATAACAAACAATATAAAATGTCCTTTTTACCCTTCATTTTAACACCAAAAGTAATGGAGGACCATTTTTACTTAAAATTCAATAGTCGAAGGACCACTTTGAGTGCAATTAAAAGTCAATGAACCAATTTGAGAAAATGTCATAATTGGAGGACTATTTTGGGAATGAACTCTTTCAACGTATTAGGGATTATAGTGTTTAGCAACATATTTGTTGATTACTTTCACATGCAATCTGAAATTTCTAGAAATTTGAAAGGAATCCAAAGTATTAGGACTAGTATTAGGACTTTTTATTTGAGTTATTATATGACTCCATATCCTAGTCTTCCCATAATTCCTCTTGTATATATACCCCCTCTATGTATAGTTGTAATTACTGTTCATATAATATAATTTCTCACAGTTCTCATCTGGTATCAGTTAAGCTAGGGTTTTCTTCCTTTTTTTTTTTCTAATGGCTGACAGATCTGTTAACTCCTCCGAACAGACCGTTTCCAATGCTTCTATCTCGTCTTCCGCTAGCTCTGCTGTTACACCGCTTTCTACTGATCATCACTTTGTCAGTATTAAGCTCACCCCTAAGAATTACCTATATTGGAGAACTCAAGTCGTATCCCAATCCGCCGCCCTTCCTTCCCGACGTCAAATGAGGCTCGCCGACGCCAAATCCCGATCATGCATCATGGTTTCGGCATGGTTAGGTTTTGAAACTCCGACCGTAACCCCTGAAACACATAAAGATTCATCTCGTATAGCCCAACTGGCATACCGGCCAAAGCAAGATCCTCCAAAATATTCCCTGGGCTGAATCTGTTCTCCATCACATGCCACCAGCTGCTCCTCCCCGCGGGAATGTCCCAATTCCACCCGCGGCACCTTCTGATCCGCACAGCAGTGACGACACACCACCCTCACCGCCTCACACCGATGCTAACTCGCCAGATGTGCCCAAACACGAACCACTTGAGCCAACGGATCAACCTGCCAAGCGGCCTCGCGGTCATCCTCGAGTAAATCCGTTAAATCCACAGTTCGAACTCACGAGATGCACACTCGTAGTCGCTCTCAGGCTCCTCCAACGGCTTTAACGATTCATGTGTGTCCTTCAGATCCTACTTGTTATACACAGGCGGTTAAGTTTCAAGAATGGCGTGAGGCTATGGACCAAGAATTTAATACCCTTCTACAAAATCAGACATGGCAATTGGTGTTGTCTCAGCTAGGTTTGAACATTATTGGGTGCAAATGGGTCTTTCGTACAAAAACGAAAGGCAGATGGCTCCATTGAGAGGCATAAGGCAAGACTTGTAGCAAAGAGCTTTAACCAGGCGCCAGGTCAGGATTTCTTTGATGCTTTTAGTCCAATGGTTAAACCAACCACAATCAGGTTAATCCTTTCTCTAGCTCTATTGTCTGGATGGTTTATTAAACAACTTGATGTTCATAATGCCTTCTTAAATGGAAATCTATTTGAGACTATGTACATGAAGCAACCACCTGGTTATATTGATGCTCATCATCCAGATCATGTGTGCTTACTGAAAAGATCTCTTTATGGACTAAAACAAGCCCCTAGGGCTTGGTTTAATCGTTTGCACATTTTTCTACTATCTATTGATTTTTAGACATCGAAAACGGATGTGTCTCTATTTTATCACTCACAAGGATCTGATTGTGTATATCTGTGGATTTATGTGGATGATATACTTATGAAGGGAAATAATCAGGACATAATCACTCAGCTAATTGCAAAACTCTCTGATGTGTTTAAAATTAGAGATCTTGGTGAACCAGGCTTTTTTCTTGGAATTGTGGAAATTAAATGCAGGGATGGAATTTTACTTTCGCAACAGAGATACATGCATGACATTCTAAAACGTGATGGAATGGCAGAATGTAAGCCATTGTCTACTCCTTTTTCTTCCTCCAAAATCGTGAGTACCGACACAGATTTATATGATGATGCCACACAGTACAGGAGTTTAGTAGGTGCTCTACAGTATTTAACTATCACTCGTCTTGACCTTTCCTTTGCCGTCAACCAGTTATGTCAACACATGCATGCCCATACTATTACTCACTGGGAGCATATAAAAAGAGTCTTAAGATATGTTAAAGGAACTGTTAATTTTGGTTTACGAGTCAGGCAGTCAACTTCAAGAGAAATTCATGCCTTTTCTGATTCCGACTAGGCTAGCTGTCCAGAAGATAGAAAATCTACAAGTGGCTTTGCTGATTTTTTGGTTCTAATCTTGTGTCATGGGTCTGCAAGAAACAAAGAACTGTTGCTAGATCTTCTACAGAGGCCGAATATAAAGCTCTAGCAGATGTTTGTGCTGAGGTAACATGGATTATGTCTCTTTTACATGAACTTCATGTCCCAAATATTTCTGTTCCAAAATTATGGTGTGATAATCTTGGAGCTACAGATATGTGCGCCAATCCCATATTTCATGCACGCACCAAACACGTAGAAATAGAGTACCATTTTGTGAGAGATAAAGTTGCTGCTGGAGAAATACAAGTCAATTTCATCTCAACAAAAGATCAACTTGCAGACATATTCACCAAAGCATTGCCTGGTCCTAGATTTTCATTTCTTAGAGACAAGCTACAGGTTACAAGTATACCATGCGCTTGAGGGGGAGTATTAGGACTAGTATTAGGACTTTGTATTTGAGTCATTATATGACTCCATATCCTAGTCTTCCTATGATTCCTCTTGTATATATACCCCCTCTATGTATAGTTGTAATTACTGTTCATATAATATAATTTCTCTCAGTTCTCATCCAATGTTCATTAGGGGGAAAATAGAAGACAAGACCGCATATCATTACAATATTCTTTAAAATCAAGTTGGCTTAAATTGATCTCATATCTAAAAGATTTAAAAAAAAAAAAATTGAAGTTTGATTGTAAAAATATTTTTAAAAAATTATTTCCTATTATAGAGCACAGATAAGTAAAAACCTTTTAGAGCATGGAAAAATAAAGAGAAATCAATGCTGGTATATCAATAGAAAAATGCTTAGTGCCTCATATGTATCACTCACAAACTTGTCACTCCCTTAGGTGGCAAGTTTTAATTGGTTTGCTTTTCTTCAATTTTCCTTTTCATTTTTTTTAAATAAAGTACTTAATTCATTAAATCATAACATGAAGCGATTACAACAAAGTTCAGAGAAATGGTAAATCATTTCTTACAGTCAGACATAGAAACAATTTTTCCAGCTATGCTACAGAAAAATTGATTCGCAAACTATTTTACAAATTGGAAGTTTGACTCCTTGAAGGGCCATAAAGCTTCTTTAAAAACATTAATAATCTCGCCAAGTGTAGACAAGATTATCTCAGAAGTTCTGCACACCACCTGGGTATTCATCTATATTTTTTCGTGCATTGACAATATTACCCTCTTGAGAACACCCAATCTTACATCAGTGGGATTTATCGATTTCTCATATGGTAGCCTACCAACCGAGCTGAAATCCATATCAAAGTTCAGGAGAGACATTTTTTCATTGTCTTCTACGTTGCCCATGATGAAGTTTACAAAGACCATGACCATTTTTATCATTTCATGCTTCATACAAAACCTCGTCATATAAACGAGAAGGAGAAAACTCGTCAAAGGAATGAGAGAAAAAAAAAACACAATAAGCTGTAAAAATAACAGAAGAAACAAAGCAACATAAAGATAAAGAAAACAAGGTGGATCCAGAGCCTCAAAGCAACACAAGACACCAAACACAAACACACCAAAACCAAAGTCACTTTCACCCTTTCCTACCCAACCACTACGGATTGTTCACTTTTTTGGTAATGAAGCTTAGATCTGCAGCTTGGAGATGGCGAGGGGCGGTGGTAAAGGAGGAAGAATAGTCGGTTGAGAGTGCACAAAGCCTAGTCGGGTAAGTGGCCAAAAAGACTCGGAGAAGGGTGGATTGGGGTGCCGGTTGTGGTGATGGTTCGGGGGAGAGGCGGGAGGAGGTGGAGGCGGCATAGGAGAGGCCGAGGCAAGGTAGAGGAGAGACAGTAGGAGCATGGGAAGAAGAGAAAATGAGAAGGAGGAGGAGTCGAGAAGGCCAGCGCTGCCTCCGCTCCTTTTGTGGAGGCAGCGGTCGATCAGTGGAAGTCTGTAAGATGAAAAAAACTAAGGGCCCAAAGTATACTTAGGGCTATTTATTAATGAAAATTGTTCAAAATTATCTTATTTGTGCCCAAAGTATATATGCATTAGTTTTTTTCCAAATAAATTGCCAAAGGGGAAGATTGTAAGTGTACAAATGATACGCATTAAACCCTTATTATAAATTGGCTAATTTATTTATCAAAAGATTAAAATTTATTTTATGTTTTTTTTTTTTGGATTGTCTCCCATCAATGGTGTTTAACATATTTAAGAAGATTGAACTATTATTTAGCATGAATTAATTATTGTGGGCATCTGTTATTTTGGGCGTGTGGTCAGCGTGAATTTGGGGAAAGTTTGGTTTAGTGGAAATGAATATAAAAAGGATGGTTCTCTTACCTTTTCACTTCATGGATTTTGAGAGACAGAAATCAGAAGAAAAGGCTACCTTTATTATTTTCATATTACAGATTATTATATTGTTTTGAAGAGGTGTCTCGCTAGATCAGACATTCTAGATTAGAAGCAGCAGTATCAACATCTGAAGTAGAAGATGGCATGCATGCACCAATCCTAAGTTAGATGTTGTGAATGTTGTAGTTGGTTGTTGTAGCTAAAGATGACGTGTGTTTACAAACGCCCTGTATAACATTGGTGAACATCTGGTGAATTGGGCTAACGTGAGTTTCCCCGTAGATGTAGGAGGTTTCGCTCCAAACTGCATGATCAATATTTGTGTTCCTGATTTTTATTTCTTACTTTTAATTTGTTATTTGTTCCTTCTAAAATGACATAATTAAAAGTACGGTAATTTCACTTTTATAAAACCAAGTAAAACTTTAAGACTTAACTTACATTCAAGATCCATGGTACAGTTTCAGAGGCACCAAGCATGGTCTTAAGACTTAAAATAAATTAAAATAAAAGTATCTACTATTTCTAATTGGCATTTAGTTAAGTAGAGCGAAAATTAATTCTCTAATATATTGTTTCTCCTCATTTATAGAACGGAATTGCGAAAATAACAATTTTAGAAAACGAAAGCATGTATGGTGTGCAATATAGGGACATACTTATTATGCATATATTACAATGTCTTATCTGCAAGCGTGTTTTTAATTAATCTCCAAATTAATCTCATTCATATATATATATATATATATATATATATATATATATATATATATATATATATATAGAGGATCAGGTGCAATGACAATTTTCTGTGGAAAGTGCAGATAAGCATGATCAATGACTCTTTTTAAAAAAAACACTATACAAAATGTGCACTTGAAGCACAAAAAGTGCATTCGAAGGTAAAAATTTTGCATTTAAAGGCACAAAGATGTGCACTAATCCAGAATATGCATTCAAAGGCACAAAAATGTGTACACAAAGGCGTACAAATTAAATGTGCGTTTGATGGCAAAAATTCTGCACTCGAAGGCACAAAGATGTGCTATCGAAGCAATTTATAGTACCAAAAAGAGAAGTTATTCAACTTAATGTTATTGAAGCAATTATCATTACAAATCGTTTGTAAATCTCACAAATTTCATTAAAAATTTAGTTATAGTATGTTGTTGAAAAGAATGCAAAAGATATAATAAACACTGGCCCAGAAATATGCACTTGAAGGCACAAAAATGTGCACTCGAAAGCTAAAATTTTACATTCGAAGGCACAAAGATGTACAATTGAAGCAATTTATTATTCCAAAATTGTAAGTTATTCAACTTAAGTATTATTAAAGCAATTACGCTTACAAATTGTTTGTAAAACTCACAAATTGCATTAGAAATTTAGTTATACGTTACTGAAAAGAAAGCAAAAGATATACTCCGTAATAAATATTGGTCCATAGTTGTGCATTTTAAGGCACAAAAATGTGCACTTGAACGCACATAAATGTACACTGGAAGATCAAATTTTTGCACTCAAAAGCACAAAGATGTGCACTCAAATAATAATAATAATAATAATAATAATAATAATAATAAAGCAGCTTCTACACGGAGGCAACCTAAAGTGGGAGTGGTGTACACGGCAAATTATGCCCTGGACCCGTGTACAATTATGAACATATAGTGATAAAATTATGACCATGGAGCTTTAAAATTGTGAATATAGAGCTTCAAAGATTATGAATGTACAGTTATGGAGTTATGAATGTACAGTTATTGAGTTATGAATGTACAGTTATGGAGTTATGAATCTACAGTTATGGAATTATGAATGTACAGTTATTGATCGAATTATGAACAAAGAGCTCTGACATTATGAACTTACAATTATGAACATATAGTGATAAAATTATGAACATAGAGCTCTAAAATTGTGAACATAGAGCTTCGAAAATTATGAATGTACAATTATGGAGTTATGAATGTACAGTTATGGAGTTATGAATGTACAGTTATAGAGTTATGAATGTACAGTTATAAAGTTATGAACGTACAGTTATGGAGTTATGAATGTACAATTATTAACATATAGTAATAAAATTATGAACATATACGTACTCCTATAACGAAGTTGTCTGAAATTAAAAATAAAATAAAAATAAAATAAAATAAAATAAAAAAGAAGGAGATAACAGTGCCTAACGGCACTGTTACCCGTGTTAGGCAACGTAACAAAAGGATTATATAATACTGTACTATTAGGAAAAATAATTCCAGTAAAACTTCTAGGAAAAACTAAAGATAAATTAATGAAAGTATAACTCAACATAAAAAAAAATTATTATTAACAAAATAAATTTCACAGTATTTAACGTAACTAATGAATAAAATATATCTAACTCAATATTCGAATAGCTAGTATTTCTAACTAGGATAAGGTAAAAATTGTGTCCTCTAATATAACGTGTGCCTGAAGAAATGAGGGATATGATTAGATGATAGGACAGAGGGTGTCCAATTTTTACTCCCTCCTTGGATCAAAAATAGACTCTTTTTGTAATTCAAAAAACACATCACTTTTCGAGGATCCAAAATATGGGTGTTGATCTTCTCTTCATAACGATCATTTTTCATATCATATGCCAAAAGTTTTTTTGAGCCTCTGCTTACACATTTTCTTAGCAAAACATAAGTGTTGTTCCAAATTCCAATTGGACATACGGTTGGATCTATTTGTCCAAAGTTGTAAACTTTTGTCCAATAATGTTGTTCTTGCTGCAAAACCCAAACCTCGATGACCTCTCTCTCTTCATTCCAAGCTAAGAACGCCAATGAATCATAGTAGGTAGAGATGACAATAGTGTCACGATTATTGATCACAATGGGGGGTAATGCAATGGTAACAAAATTCTCTTGAGCCATGTTGAAACAAAAAAGTAATGAAGCGTTTTTGGCATATGGTAGCCAGTAACAAAAACCATTTGTGTATATGTTATGCTGAGGGTAAGTAGTCAAACAGCTACGGCCACTCAATTCAAGAGGAAGAGGAGAATCAAGAAATCGCCAGGAATCGTTATTCAATGAATATACTAGAGCAATTTGACGCTTAAAGAGAATGAAAACAACCTTGTAATCATTTCTCGTAGAATCCCAACCTAATCCATATGCATAAAATTCAAATGAATAATGAATAACAGCACAAGGCGACCTAGGGAGAAGCCGAAAGGCACTGGTCGCAGGGTTCAACAGACCAAGGTTAGCTCCAGGTGTAATAACAGTGTGCAAGAGAAATAAACCACGACACGGACCGGTAATACAACTACCCCACAGTGACATCCGAAGATTTTCCTTAGTTCTCAAAAATTTATCTGAAAAGATGTTTGCCGCACCAGAATACTCAACAGCAAGGAGAGTTGAATTCTGTTGCAACGCATAATGTTGTTCCTTAAAAACATGTCTTTTTATTACATCATACCAATACCTGCAAACACATTTAAATCTACAAATGGATGTCACAGGCAACTTCAATAGAATCTCAAATACAACGTCTTCTGGCAAACCACTATGCCCAGATCCAACCATTATATTATTATCTCTCCCACCCTAGCAAGTACCTGCATATACACGATATCAATATTTCTTCTTTTTTTTTTGTCAAATTTGACGTGTGTATTCCTTGCTCATACCATCTTTATTCATACAGAAAATTTGCAATTGTAATCCTTACAAATGTTAATAAAAATGTAAAGAATTTAGAAAACAAGGAAAATTACAAATAATAAATAAAAACATAACCTCACAAATTTTTTTAATAACAGAATCAAAATAGACTGTTCTAAAAATTCTTTCAAACTACAATAATATTCGCATCACACACTGTGAGACTAATCTATTCATACTTAGCCGATCAATTTCAATGAATTGCATGATGCACAGAGTGTGTGACTCAAAAATATATGAGTATTCATGTATTTAATATGGATAAAAAGTGAAATAGTTATATATATATATATATATATATATATATATATATATATATATATATATATATATATATGTGTGTGTGTGGGGGGGGGGATGAAAAGTACAGTGGAATCGAGCTTACTTTTGTCTTCTCAGGCGCCGGAGATTATTTGCCTTCAACCTTCACACACAGATAATAAATCCACATATATATAATTAATGCCCTGAGGCGAGCTTAATTTATATCTATTTATAAACAACAAAGATTACAACCACAATCATAATCATAATCACAATCACAATAATAATAATAATATAATATAATATAATAATAATAATAATGAGAATAAGAGTTTAAATAGGACAGTATGTCTATTTTTACCCTCATACATACATAAATATATATATATATATATATATATATATATATATATATATATATATATATATATATATATATATAGAGGGAAAATGGCACTTTTTCCCTAACTTATATATTTATACCACTTTTTTTTTTCCTGAATTATTAATGTAACTATGTAAGCACATTAGCCCCTCAATTATTTTAAAAGTGGTGATTTTTTTTCCTGATATATTAAATTGACATTTCTACCCTTAAAATAAACAGTTTATTTATTTTTCTTCTCCAACAAATTATTGCATATACGTAGGGATGACCACAGTTCAATTCGAATTGAACCTGCCATTATAGAAATCGAATTAAAAGTTTCCGGTTATGATTTAGTTACAGAACCCAATATTTGGATTTCAGTTTACTAAAATTATGAATCAAAAAAACTAGATCCTGAACCGTGAGCCGGCGGTTCCGGATCCGATTCGCGATTTTGAAACGTCTTTATTTTAAATTTTTTTTATTTCTTTATTTTAAAATAGTCTAAATTTAACAATAAATGCATTTTATTTTTTTCAGTTCCGAACATGAACCAGCCGTCCCGGTTCGCGATTTTAATAAACTCTAAATATCGGGTTTCGATTTTAAATTGTAATTAGAATATTTCGGTTTGGTTGTTATAGTGTCTGTTTGGTTTGAACCAAATTGTGGTCATAATTTGTTGGAGAAGAAAAATAAATGAAATATTTATTTTAAGAGTAAATATGTCCATTTAACATTTCAGGAAAAAAACAGCTACTTGAATAATTTAGGGGGGGAAAGTGCTATAAGTATATAACTCAGGAAAAAAATACCATTTTCTCTAATAATAATAATAATAATAATAATAATAATAATAATAATAATAATAATAATAATAATAATATAATAATAATAATAATAATAATAATAATAATAATAATAATAATAATAATAATAATAATAATTGATAAGTTATATACCCCGGTTCCGTGCCATCACTTATAGTCGGGTCAAGGTCTCGCGGTTCGGGTCTTGGCCTGCGGGTTGGGGTCAGAGGTGACGGGTCAAACCCGAGATGGGTCAAACCCGCCACCTCGGTGGCCCTATAAAAGGGCCTTTGGCCCTTCAAGTGAAAGGATCTTTCCCATTTTTGGAGCCATGAGCGCTCTCTCTCTCGGCTCCCTCTCCCTTCTCTCTATAATATAGACAAACATACAAATATTCATATGAATAAAAACACCACTTTCATCTATTTCTTGTGTTCTTCCTTCTTATTTATAGATTCATATACATATATATTCATCCAGTACGTACACCCGTCTACTCGGGGGGAATTAGTAATATCATAATGGTGTCGTCTGTGGGGGCTTTATGATAAGTTATATACCCCGAGTTCGTGTCATCGCTTATAGTCGGATCGGGGTCTCGCAGTTCAGGTCTTGATCTACGGGTCAAGATCAAAGGTGACGGGTTTGACCCGCCACCCGGAGTATATAAGGGCCTCTAGCCCTTCTTGTTAGGAGATCCCTTTTGGACTCCCTCTCTCTAAAACTCTACTTTAATTTCCTCTTCCTTCTCTCTACATTTAAATTGAAGGATACCATTAATAAAAGAGAGGTTCTTGAGTTATATTGGATCTTATTGTTCATACATCCTTTACATATTCATCTAGTACATACACCCTTCTATACGGGGGAATTAGTACTATCAATAATAATAATAATAATAATAATAATAATAATAATAATAATAATAATAATAATAAAACAAAAACAAAAAAAAAAAAAAAAGAGACACATGTCAGTATTAGAAGACACTAACCTGCCAAACAAGTAATTTTGTACTTGATTAAACTTTTTTACAAGTTTAGAGAATTTAAATAGAACTTTTTTTATTTAAGTGACTCAATTACACTATCTTGCTTGATTTAGAAACCAATTTTACACTTTTTCCTATATAATATATTTTTAACTCCTAAAATTTAGGAAGAAAAAGAAACGGAGCGACGCTTCATCACTCATCAGCCAATCTTTCACGGAAAACATAACTGCATATTAAAGCAACACAAAAATTGCCACTAAATATGAATTCTTCTTTCCAAACTTCACTCATATGATCAACTGAGATGCTTATATGGGCAAAATTCTAGTTGTTGTTTAAAATAATAATAAAATTTTTATTATTATTTATATAGATATGTGTGAAAATAAAAGATAAAAATTAAAAGTATATGAATATTTATGAAAGTTTTGAAACCGTATCATGAAATTTGATAGGAATAGATGAAAATTTTGTTTGGCTTATATAAAGAAAAAAAAAAGTAGAAAAAGTTGAAAAGTTTAGGGTTGGATAATTGAATTTCAACTATTTATATTTATGAAAGAAAAGTCTACAAAAATCCTATATCTTATCTCTATTATATATCTAGTCTACTATACTAATAAGAGTCCAAGAGAGTTAGGCCTATAATGGGTAGAAAAAATGGCGGTCAAATTTTTTAATCAAATGAATGGCTCAGATTGATCAGATTTTAATTTTTCCTTAAGATTTCCTAATTTATCCTTAATGAATGTGATTATCCGTTAACTTTTCCGTTAAATATTATCTTTTCCGTTAATTTATGTTAATTTTCCGTTAACTTACTTGATTTCAATAAAAAATGTCTTAGGTTCGAACCACATCCCAATCAAAGTTGGCATAATTAGTACTCTATTTTACTCGTATTAAATTAAATAATAATTTAGTAGCTACAACAAAAAATAATACATATGCATTTCTTCAATTTAGAATTATGTGTCTACAATGTCTTTATTCAAAAAAATTATTCATTATCAATAAATTAAATAAAAGAAATAATTTCATTAGCTATATTGTCTTTATTTTTCTCCAATATAAAAATTCTTTGCATTCAAATTCATCAATTGATTATATTCGCTACATTGTCCCTACAATGTCTTTATTAAAAAAATTATTCATTATCAATAAATTAATTAAGAGAAATAATTTTATTAGTTATATTGTCTTTACATTTCTCCAATGTAAAAATTCTTTACATTCAAATTCATCAATTCATTATATTCACTACATTGTCAATTATCTTTTTTTGTGCACTATTTTTTAATTAAATATCAAAGTTATAATACAAAATAATGTTATATATTCATTTACAAGTAATTTATTAATGCCATGAAAAAATTAAAAAAAAAAAAACATAATTAATAAAGCCAATCATATTAACTACTTGAGGCATTTATTGACAAAGAGAGTATTCAAATCACACAACAAATTGAAGTGAGAACTATCTCGCAATGTCTTTGTTTGACAATAAGAAGTTAGCGGTTAGCGTTAGCGGATTATATTAGCGAACTTGACCAGTGAATTATATCAACGGTTGGTAAAAAGATATTTAAAAAAATTAGCTGTTTAGATTAACATGTAAAATGACCTAAGGGTATAATAATAATAATAATAATAATAATAATAATAATAATAATAATAATAATAATAATAATAATAATAATAATAATAATAATTGTTTTAAAAAATAAAAAATAAATAAAAAATAAAATTAAGTCAATTATATTAACTACTTAGGGGATTTATTGACAAAAAAAGTATTCAAATCACACAACAAATTGAAGTGGGAAATTATCTCGCAATCTCCTTGTTTGGCAATCAGCAGTTAGCTCTTCAATATTAGTATATATTTAATATTTTATGTCCTAATTTTTATTTGCTCTCCTTTATGTCTCGTATTTGGTTTCAACCATACCTATACAATTATTTTATTGACAATTATAATCAATCTTGACTATATTATCTTGCATTTGTAAACTTAGAATTACCTATTTAAATACGTAAATTTAACATTTAATTATCTATGCATGAAAAATTCCAATATAATCTCGCCTTAATATACTTTAAAGTACTTATTAATATATATATATATATATATATATATATATATATATATATATATATATATGTATATATATATATATATATATATATATATATATATATATATTGGGCATTATCCCTATCGCACAATGCGCGTAAAAAACTAGTATACTAATAAGAGCCTAAGAGAGTTAGACCTATAATGGGTAGAAAAAATGGCGGTCAAATTCTTTAATCAAATAAATGACTCAGATTGATCAGATTTTAATTTTTCTTTAAGATTTCCTAATTTATCCTTAATGAATATGATTATCCGTTAAATATTATCTTTTCTATTAATTTCTGTTAGTTCACCGTTAATTTACTCATTGATTTCAATAAGAAAGGTCTTAGGTTCGAACCCCACCCAATCAAAGTTGACATAATTAGTACTATATTTTACTTTTATTAAATTATTATTATATAATAATTTAGTAGCTACAACAAAAAATAATACATATGCATTTCTTTAATTTAAAATTATGTGTCTATAATGTTTTTATTCAAAAAAAAATTATTCATTATCAATAAATTAAATAAGAAAAATAATTTCATTAGTTATATTATCTTTATTTTTCTCCAATATAAAAATTCACTACATTGTCTATTATCTTTTTTGTGCACTATTTTTTTAATTATATATCAAAGTTATAATACAAAATAATGATATATATTTATTTACCAAATATTTTATTAATACAATGTAAAAATTAAAATATATATATATATATATATATATATATATATATATATATATATATATATATATATATATATATATAATTAATAAAGCCAATCATATTAACTTTTTGAAGGGTTTGTTGACAAAGAGAGTATTTAAATCATACAAAAAATTGAAGTGAGAATTATCTCACAATGTCCTTGTTTGACAATCAGCAGTTAGCGGATTTGACCTGCGAATTCTATCAACGGTTGGTAAAAAGATATTTAAAAAATTAGCTGTTTATATTAAAATGTAAAATAACCTAAGGTATACATATATTTAATAATAATAATAATAATAATAATAATAATAATAATAATAATAATAATAATAATAATAATAATAATAATAATAATAATAATAATAATAATAATAATAATAATAATAATTCTTTTTAAAAAATAAAAAAAATAAAAAATATAATTACGCCAATCATATTAACTACTTGGGGGGTTTATTGATAAAAAGACTATTCAAATCACACAACAAATTGAAGTGGAAACTATATCGCAATGTCCTTGTTTGACAATCAACAGTTAGCTCTTCAATATTAGTATATATTTAATATTTTATGTCCTAATTTTTATTTGCTCTCCCTTATGTCCCGTATTTGGTTTCAACCATACCTATACAATTATTTTATTAACAATTATAATCAATCTTGACTATATTATCTTGGTTTTGTAAACTTAGAATTACCTATTTAAATACCCAAATTCAACATTTAAATATCTATGCATGAACAATTCCAATATAATCTAGGTTTGATATACTTTAAAGTACTTATTTTTTAAAAAAATATTAGACATTATCCCAATCGCGCAATGCGCGTAAAAAACTAGTATAGTCTACTAGGGGGTCGCCGGTCTTTCTTTGTAACAAGCATCCAAGCCCCAAATCTTTCTTTCAAATGGGCATTAGGTGCATTCTTCTGGCAAGATTGATCCGATTTTTGTGGTACGTCATTATCCGTAGTGTTGCACGCATCAGTCTCCATATTTCCAGTATTAGAACAACCCTCAGATGCCAAATCTTGCCCACAAGAATCGAGTCTATGGCCGTACTTACCACACTTGAAGCAGATAAGATGAATGCCTTCGTATTCTACTGGAAATTCCTCATCGTCGATTGTAAATTTAGCCAGTAACAACTTGGTGATGTCAATTTCCACACAGATTCGGGCAAACTTCCCTCGAGACGCGAGACATGTTGTGTCGTCTATCTTGACAGTTTTCCCGATTTTATCTCCCACCTTCATCTGAGTGTCCTCGTCAAAGTACTCGATCGGGATATCAGGTAGTTAGATCCAAGCACAAATCTTCTGGGTTTTGTTCGTCTTTGGCCTAAAATTTTGCTTCCACCGTTCGACAATCAGATAATGGTCTTGGATCATCCATGGCCCCACCTTGCATGTTCATAATCTCTTTGCAGCTCAAAGCGTGCCAGGATATATTCGTGCTCTAAATCAATTAATTCCATATGACCTTTCGGCTTCCAGAGAGTCCGAAGGCGTCTAATCAAGAAATTGTAGTCAATA